ATGCTGGGGCAGAATTGTCAGTGCTGTAAGCCTACATACCATCCTTGGTAGTGGCCACAGCTGAACAGCTGCTCCATTTGATTATTTCAGAAGGGGGCCATACCCATACCTACTAGTATTGCTTAATACAAAAGTACTATGAATATTGTGCTTGCTAACTGAATATTAGGAAAACTGCTGTGTATATATAACAAATTAAAAAAAACCCCAAACAAACAAACAAAAAAACTCAAACCAAAACAAACTACAAAAACTATATCCCCTAAGACTAGGAGTTTTCAAACACCCTTAGAATTAAAAAGAAAAAAAAAAAAAAAAGTTAGAATTCAAAAGGTGCTTCTTCATATTTTGGGGATATTGGTGGTTCAGATGGCAGGGAGAGGAAAACAAACGAAGGAATTCAAAGAACTTTCTCCTGAATTTTTCTATGCATCAGCCACTGACTTTTTGACAGATATTCCCAGGCCAATCCACTGTAACACAGAGAAAGGATTTCTGTGTTTACTTTGCCTTGCTCATCACCTTTCACATACTTGGGTATTTTGTTTAAGCTCATTTAAAACTAGAAATGAAAGGTGAGACACACACTTATTTTGGTGCCAAAGAAATTCACAAACAAAATACCAAACACAAACACCCTGACCTCAGTATGTGTTCATTTCAAATGCATTGAGATCTAGAAGTGTTTACAAATCTGCTTCTTGATAAAGCCAATTAAGCTTCTACTCTAACTTTGAGCCCATGTGAATCAGCTAGAACAGGGCAGTTGCTAACATGTTTATAAATTCACCAGTGAGTGACCAAGAAGTGGAAAGATGCATAATTGCCCATTTGTAAATTATTGCTTTTATCGTCATGCATTAGTTTATGCATCCAGTTATTGCAGTAGGTGTTAGATGTACTTTACGCACACAGAAATCCCAACAAAATCAGTCTTCTGTGAATGAGAACACACTAGTACACATTCTCCTTCTACTCTAAGAGGTCAAGAAATGCATATCTTCCTTACACTGGCCAAAACTTCCAACAAAATCAACAACTTTGCCCACCACCACCAAACAATCTATAATAAGACTATAGACAAAATTTTTGTAGTGTCTCTTGGACATTGTATGCAAACTATTTTTCCCCCTTTCCACATTTGGCTGAGTCCAGTTAAGTCTTTTACAACCCATGCTGCCTGAGTCATTGAGTGGTCATTTTCTATAGAATTCAAAAGTAGGAGAACAAAATATCTTAGTATGGCTAAACCTGACTTCTTGTACAGCCTGTAAGATGCTGAAGACTTATCATCTCTTTCAAGACACCTGTGTGGCTTAATAAGGCTACCTGGGATCCTAATTATCCTGAACCTCATGACCTTCACCCTGATGAAGCAGCACTGCCTTTCCCACCAGAGATGAACTGGAAACAGCTACGTGCTTACATTTGCTTGAGGACTTGTCTGTGTCGTGTCGTTCTCACCCCCCTCCCCCCCCCCCCCGCTTTCTCTGCCCCTATGTATGTTCCTGGCTTTGGGGCAAGTAGGGCTTACAAGGTTCCTTTGAGTTACAGGTAGAATAACAATGTTGTCCATGAACCTATAACACTGTATAATTGGTTGCGCACTAGATGAAGGGAATTTTATTTCCCACCACATACGCTTCCTGGTGATTTAAAAGAAGAGCAGCTGTTAAAATTGAGGTGACAGTTTTAGAAAGTGTGTGCAAGTCACAAGGAAATGTTTGCATATCTCTTTTTTTTTCCCCCCCATTAAATAAATGCATTATATATGTAACATCTTAGAAGCCATAGTAAGACAGTCACATTGAGGCCTCAAGGCCTCAAAAATTTCATTTAGTCTCTGAATATTTTATTTTCTTTATACCTTAACTTTTGCTGTATTGGGCACTTGCCAAGCAAACAACATCCCATTGGAGGACAGTTTTGTCCTTTCATCTTAGCGCTCATGGGCTTCTGGAAACAAAATAATAGCCATGAGACAGAGAGGCAGCGGGCTTTCTGGCAGTGAGGGAGCAGGTTCATGGGTGTGAGGAGGGGACCAGGAGCACACACCTACTTCAGCAGCAAGAAAGGGTTCTGTAGAGTATTCTCAGTGCAACACTAATGTAGCTAACTGGAATGGCTGCTTTTTGGTCAAGCCAGGAGGAAACCATAGGTGCAATTCCTCCCTGTGCTCTCCTGTAAGTCGTCATACATTTTCTTTTTCTTTGTGTCTTTCTTCACCTACCCCCTGCTCCAATAAAAATGACCACCTTCTCATGATGACTCTGTATCAAATAGATACAGCCCCCACACACACTTATACAAGCATGTTTATATCCACACATACGTGTATGTATGTGTAGACGTGCATATATGCAAGTACAGACACACATTTTATCCAATGCATGAGTTGCTAATAAAAATAACTGCTTAGCCTATAATAATTGTGTATAAAATTAATGAAAAAGCTGAAATTCCACCACCACCACCCCCCCAGTTGTTTTTTGAGAAAGAAATAAGAATTATCAATCAATATCAAAAACTTATTTAACATCAGTTGTCACATGGTCTGCCTGCTGTTGCTTAGGCCACTTTCCCAGCTACTTGCCCTGGTGTAACTTCATATATCCAAAACCCAGATACTGCTGCTGACCCTATTTTAGTCTTTAATAGATAAACATGAATGATCTCCAACAGGTTTTCTGCATGATCCTCCACCTAATCGCCAGAAGTCAGTCCTCTGTCTTCGATCATCAGAAAGAGGGGTAAGAAAAGATTACTGATTGCTCTTAGCTTTTCTAGAAATGGGAAATGTAAACTGTACCAGTTTCTCTCTGCCTTGCATGCTCTCTACAGGTGGTGTTCTGTCTTTCTGTCATTACATACAGAACCATCTGCCCTGGGAGAAGGCAAGAGTGTATTTAAAAAAAGCATGGGTATATTTAAGTACAGTTGGCAGCGTGATATTTTTGAGTGTGACAGCTAAACTGGACAGAGACACACACAAACCTTAGCTAAGTTAGGGGTGTTGTATTTGCTTCATTAGTATGTTTTATCCAGTGAATGCTCCCTTCTAAAAGAGGGCAGAAATGGCACCATATATGATAAAGTATAAGATATAATGTTTTATGTATGTCCCTACAACAAAAGACTAGTCTTCTAAGAAAAAAAAAAAGAAAAAAATTAAAAATTCACATGTGCTTGGTGAAGTTGGACACAAAGAAGTTCAAACATTTTTCTGTACTCAGGACCAGCTTTTTTCACTCTGGTTATAAGATGAATGCAGTTCATAAATGAAAAAGGAGCACTGACTTCAAAATAAAGGCTTAACATGACCCAACACAGAATCTGCATGTAGATTATAATGTGTCAGTAGCTGAAGCAGCATAGATCAGAAGAACTGACCAGAATAATCTTCTATTTTGAGGACTGTGAAATGGGTTAAACATGGTCTAAATAATAATAAAAGCCTGCTTAAATTATTTTGTTACTTTGTAGGAGGGTGAAATATATTAAACAATCCAATTTTACAGCTAGTGTATTAACGATTCTTGTATTGTCTTTAAATTGCTATTCTACAAAATATAACAACAAAGTAATCACAGTCCAAGAAGTCACTCCAGAATAAAAAGTCTATTAGGTGTTTGTTAGTATGGTTATATTTGTACTGCAGCCAGTGGACAAACATTAAAGCTGAGATAGTTTAGCCTAAATGTTGGATTATATAGTGGACATCATTGTTTTGACAGTAAATTGATCTGCTCTGTATTTGATTCACCGATATTTCTCTAATGATAATATGTTTTATTGTGGTGTTTAACAATTCTGCAAAATTACAAAGCCTAAAGTTACCTTGCACAATGAAAACCTGAAGTCTTTCCTGATGACTGTGGTTTTGGTTTAATCCTTATTAGCACAGCCTTTTTTGTGTGTGTGTGTTGGTTTTGGGGTTTTTTTTTGGTCACACAACTGTGTTAGATGTTGCTAATTTGAGGCAGAGAGAGTTACTAAATCATTTAAAACAGCAAATGCTTGGGTGGATAGATACTGCAGCACAGATATGAAACACTTTTGTCTGATGGCTATAAAGATTGTTGACAACTTTGTGAAACTGCTGACACAAAAGGCACCCATCAAAGGCCTTTTGTAGGTTATCATAATAAATACATTCATTAACTTTATCTTGATTTGGTTATTACTGTACTTTATGTGTGGTGTCCCAGCAAAGGAAATAAATAAATAAATAAATAAACCAAACACAAAGCAACTTCTAAAATAAGAAGTTACTTGGTTCAGGAATTGAGAACAGCATGTTGTGAGATTAGAGAGCTGAGGCTAAACCAAAAGGAGATTCAGTGTGCCTTTTACCAAGGTATGAGCTATCACCAAAGTGCAAAGATCTGGAGATAAACATTCATACATATCAGGAAGAATCTGAACCAATTAAATAAACATAATTGATGCAAGGCCAGCTGCGCTTCTGAAGTAAGGAAGCAGCAAAAGATAGTAGATGTGAAGGTTTATAACTTATGATTTCATGTGCTATTTATGCACTCTGGTTTAAAGCACTGTAATACATGGCAAAAGAAGAGGAATTGCCAAGCCTGACTTCTGGAAATTAGCAGCAGCTGATGGCTAATGGGAAGTGGAGTGGAATTGCCAGATTTGCCATTTATAGAAAGTGCTGCCTATGAACACATGATCTATATGGCACTCAGTTTAGAGTAGTGATATTCACTAAGCTAGTGTTGCAGGAAGTTACTGAGGATGCTGGATTTCTGTCTGTAGTGTGGGAGCGGGGCACAGTGTGTCTGTGTGGGGTTATTGAACCTTAACATAACTGGCAATTAAGATGAGCTGTACATGGTAATAAAACAAAGAATATTTCAGAATGTTACATGTACAAAAATATGACTTTCAACTTTGAAAATAAATAAGTTCAGTTTATTAAGAGCTGGTGTCAATGCTGAACGAAATACACATCCTCCAGTAAAGAAACATTTTGGTGAACTGTTTTTTTTTTCTTTTTTTCTTTTGATTTACTAAAATACAAGTTGGACCTTTTTTTTTTTTCTTCTTGTAAATATATCATTTTTCTCCCTTAATTACATGTCCTTATAACTGTGACCATCATTCTCCTTTAAGCCAAAGATCGAGGTTTGTTTTTTTAAATTCTTAGGAGTCTGGCCACATATGCAGGTTTTTATAAGGGAATATACTTGATGATGAAAAAAAAAGAAAAATATATTTTTTCTAATAAATAAAAATAATTTAAAATGCTAGAGGCTATACATGACTAGTTTTGATTATGTTCATTTATAAATGAAATAGTTTCCAAAATACGTGGAAGCAATATTAAAGGCAGACAAACAATCATCTGTCTACTTTTTATTTTCCCATTAAGCTTGCCCTTCTTCTCCACCAGTTGTTCAGCATGTAAGAGGAATAAATGTCACATCACCATTCATGAAGTTTGTCAGGCTTTAAAAAAATAGTTCTGTCCTCGAAGGAGTCAACATTCATCTTCAACTTCTCTGATTGGTGGTATCAAGCTGCTTGTCGATTTATATTGATTGATCTGATTGGCCATGTGAGTGCTCATGGGCTTGATTTGAATGTTTCTGGGATAGGCATTATCCGGCTCATCTGTAAACCATTTCTTTTCTGCTAAGGAGCAAAACGGGTAGAGACAGAATAAGGAGGGAAAATGAGAGTTTTAGTTAGTGACGCACATAAACACATAAACATTTGAAAAACAAAAACCAGAGGGGGAGCAGTCAGTAAAGTTTACAGAGAAAAGGTGATCAATAGAAGGTGACTGTGACTAATTACTAGCAGTACAGTGCATTAGATTAATACCTCTGAAAATGCTTTTTATGAAATGATGTCATGTTTGCAGATTTAATAGTAGAAGCTAAAGAAAACTTCAATATGATAGTGTGTTTGTTGAATGTAAGAGAGCTTTTGTTTTTTTATGCTCAGGTGAACATCCTCTGATTCATTTATTGAAAAAAATGATACAAATAAAGGGCTAAACTAAGAAGCCAGGGAGAGCAGATGGGATAAGGGGAATGCAGAAAAAAGCATGGGGGTCCATATACAGAGGAGCACCTGAAGAGTCAGAGGCTACTCTGAACCATTTCAGCCTTGGGGTGGTCACTACCCTGGCTAAGAAATCGATCAGGAGAACATAAAGAATCTCCTATGAAAGTTGGTCCTAGAATAAATAGGGCTTTCATTCATGCTGCCCAATGGCAGCCTTCCTGCATGGGACGGCCATTATATTGCAACTTAGCAACCTGGCTGCTTGGGCACTGCTGCAATCTCCTGTTTGTGAAGTGGTATGGAGCACACCTGATGCTATAGATGTGGGGCTCAAGAGTAATCCTGAATGAGTTGGTTACAATATGTGACAGCAAGGCAGAGGAAGTAAGATCTTAAAAGAAGATTGGAGAGGAAGCTGTTCCTTTTATATCTTTGGGCAGTGTCTTTTTCCATGAAGAATTTTATGGAACTGATTGAAGATGGGCTGTGAACAAAGTGGGAATGAGTGAGGGTGCTGAGAGGCTGTGGCACTGCAGCCATTTCCTAGCTACTTATCATTGCGACCACTATATTGTGTTCATACGCAGATGTGGACAAAAACTTCATAAAATTCACAAAAGAAAAAAAGAATTAAAATAATTTTCTTAAACCCTTTAAAGAGCAATTACTGCTGTGATTTCTTAATTACAGTTGGGAAACTTTACAAGATAGTACTATTCAGAATTAGAGAGTCTAGGTCTCAGGGTGGCTTATGGCCATTAGCTGCTTGTGCTTTGACAAGCATTTGTGAATAGGGGTCTCCATTCTCACTGTCATTCCCTGTATTCCAGAGGCAAGTGGGCAGAAATGGTTCTGCAGGTGCGGTCCTACAGCTGGTGTGTTTTCATTATCACATGAAAGGCTTATCACGTCAGAGCTGCTGCTGTTACATGTATGCACTACTACTCATGTATGCACCACTTACATGTATGCACTCCTACTAATGCACTACCCAGTGGGGGGATCCAAAATGCTTCATAAGCTTCAGTGTCTCACGTACATAATAAAAAATGCTGCTTTTGCTGACCCCAAAATGCTGCTGTATCTGGGCTTGAATCTGGGCAGGAGTAGAAATAGTGCCCTTTTTAAATAAATAAATGAGTAAACTAAGCAAAGCGAAATCTACCTTGGAAACCCAAGGATCAAGCACAAAAGCTCACAAGGTGAAGCCAAGAATATAAACTGGAAGACTAGGGAGAATAAAGGACAAATAACCTGGCATAAATGCACAAAAAGAAACAGCTAGCTTCAAAGTTAGGGCCTCTAAACAAGTGTATTGATTTCCAGAATTCCTTAACTTCTCAGTAATTTTTGTGCATATGAAATTTTACCACTTATACCTGATACGGATCTGAAGCATCTACATATAACACCCTCACTTCCCAAAAACAAATCCTAAACTTGTGGGCGTTTAATACTTCTTTTATATTTTTTCAATATATATTTGTTACCTGTGCTTATAAAAGTTTTAAAAAATAAAAAATAAAAAAAAAATTGAATTAAAAAATGAATTGTATCAATTTCTAGTGGCTTATTACTGAAATAAAACAAAACTACTGTATTATTTTTCTTGTGATTTTCTAAAATGTATTTTACATCCCACTCATTTACGATCAGGCTAAATATTTCCCTGCTCCCTTAAAGTTTCCCGAGTCTGAGCAATATTCAGCCTCCTATCTCACTCTCTCTCTCTCTCTCTCTCAGTCTCCTTTACCTATTATAATTAAGTTCCCTTTGATTTGAACAGATTGGACGATAGGAATTCATAATGTTACATCCTGCACACTGAAGCTAACTGATTAAGTGCTTTAAATTATTCTTCTTGACAGAATGATAAAGTTACAATCTGTTCAGAGATGATCTACAGCTTGCCAGACTCCTACTGCTTCTTTCTACATTCATTTATCTTTTTGTCAAGCAGCAAAAAAAAAAAAAAAAAAAAAGGCAAAAAAAAAAAAGCAGCGCCTCAGTTCCATAGATCTTTTAAAGTAATCAGAACATCTGAATTATTAATGAGACTTTAAGGGAATGGTTCCTGATGGGGGCTGGTTTAAGAGAGGTTGTAGGGAAAAAAAATAATCTGGGAATGTGTACACATCAAAATAATTTCAGTTCCATTTTAAAAACCATTTAGTTCAAGTGTGACACATGAGCCATTATGCATTTGAGGAAACCAATTTTATGTGATCTACGATTAAACTAACCTTTCAGAGAGGTGTAAAGTGTGATGGTTATCATGTTTTAAAAGCCTTGCAAGATCATATAAACAATTTCAAACTAACAGTTTTCTAATGTTTTGTGTTTAAAATGATTTTGAGGCAAGTTAAGCACTGTGAACTTTTATCTCTACCTTTTTTCTTTTAACACATGGTGCAGAAACTTTCCTTACAAACAGAACTTGGTGAAAGTTAATTCAATCTCATAACAAGAAAGGGAGAACTGTGTGAGTGTTAAGGATCAGAACTGCCCCGTTTCTCAGCAGCTAGTGTAAAAGCACTTTTCCCTGCAATTTTCAAAACAAGGCAATTATGTGAATGTTAATCTTTACAATGAAACTCATATCCAGGGAGCTGATCTTTAAAAAGACACCATTAGGTCTCTTTATGCCTTTACCTGGCAAGTAATACAGACAAATAATAAATGCAGAAACTGGTAGATTCAAATTTCTTTTGGTGGTTGAGTTTTGGGTTTGTTTTTTGTTGTTGTTGTTGTTTTGGTTTGGGTTTTTTTGATTTTTTTTTAACAGTGCTGAAAACCTTGATCCAGGCATTAGCATCTCCAGCATCAAATGCTTGGACCCAGCTTTATACCTTTCCTGTTCCTTTTCTGCTGTTAAAATTGTCTTTGACCACATTATGATGACTCTCCTATGAAAGATCACCGACATCTATACTTACCTTTGAAATATGAGTTTTACACTCCTCATCTTTACTCTTGGTCACTATGATATTCTCCTGCCATTTACTAAATGCCCTTTGTGAATCCCTTGCAGACTTCTCGGTCTTTTTTCTTATGCTTACAGTCTGACTTTGACATGTCTTCCAAAGTCTTTGCATGGACTCCTATATATCTTAAACAAACTACCTACTCTTTCCTTTAAATCAGTTCAGAAAACCCTTTTTCAAGTCCTTAAATATTCTTATATTTACCAACTTTTTTTCTCTCTGTCATGTTCAGTCTGTTTCTCTCCCTCTTAGCATACATACATATGGATCCTTACCTGATAAGTTTCTAAATTATAGTGAGAATATGCATAGTATCTGATGGGTGTGGTTTTGACAGCATCATCAGAAAGATGTTGGAACAGCTAAGTAACTTAATGTATCAGAAAGCAGAAAACATTTACTTTCCTCTCAAACACCTATGTTTGCAATAAGCAATGAAGGTGCTAAAGGCTTCAAGCTTTTATTACACTTACACAATTAGCATCTTGTGTAAGACTGTTCCCTGCAGCATAAAAAGATATAAATAAATTAAAATGATCAAAATACAGACTTCTTCAAGTTGCATAAGACTCTAGCAGTTCTTTCTAACAGATCTGCTGTTTTGATGCTTTAAAATTTCTATCACAATTCTGGACCAAGTAATCATACTTTAATACATGCCACTGTGAAACACCCTCTCTTCTGAGCAGAGGTGAAGAAAGTACTAGCAACATACATGCCATGAGGATTTTACTTAATCTGTATTCTCACCATAATCCCTGTTTACAATTGTTTTAAGCATTCATTTTTTTTCTTTTGTGACACTTGCACTTGCAAACGAGTCTGTATGTGTTTGTGTGCCTCCCCCTCTCCACATAGGTAGCTTGTTTCAGCTAAGCTGAAAATTCTCCCATGCAATTCCTTCCTATATGAGAAAAAAGTAATGAAAGTTTCTCCATCACCCACTCAGCAATTCTTTGTTGCTAGATGTGTATTTTACGTGTAGCAGGCAGTAAGTAATTTGCAGGGAAAGAGAGAAGGAACTATCCTAACTTTCTGTGAAGGTCTTTGTTTTGCTCCAAGGCAACTAGATTTTGGGGACAAACATGCTATTTTTTACTTGCTCTTGGTGATTTTTTTTTAATATTTTTTTAGACTAGCAAAATTTATAATAATGGAAATTTCACTGGAAAAGGCCTGATTCTGCCACTTTAGGCCAGTGGCAACCCATGCCAAGAACCTTAAGTCTTTCTAGACAGAGTTTTGTGTCAACACCCAGATTAAAAAGTTACTAAGAACCTAATTTCTACTGTCAAAACCATGCTGGGACTACTGTAAGTAGCAGCGCCTCCTTTCAAAGCTCTAAAATATTATCTCTTGACGCTGCTTTTATACTTCCAAAAACAAATGAATGTTTGACTTGGCATAGGTTTCCGAACAAATTGGAGATTTCCTGTGACTTTTTAATGTTAAAAAAAACCAAAACAATATAACATAGCTGATTTAGTTGATTCCTCATAACATATTTGATTCTTCTACTTGTAATATCCAACCTCCCAATTTGATTAGTATATCCATATCAGGAGGTTTTCATCACAGTAATTAATTATTTGATCAATTTAATGTAGTTAGCAGTGAAATTGCACATTGTATAACTAAAAAGTTATAGAGTTGCACATTGTATAACTAAGAATTCTGACTTTTAGGGCAGAAGACAGGAGAATCAGAATTTAACATGACTTTAAGAATTAAGATTTGCATCCATATTAGATATCCCCTTTCTATTGCTTACAAAGTAGACAAGTTGCTTCTCTAATGTACACTGTTAATATTTTTTCTGTTTGAGCTGCACAGTTATAGAAATACTATTTATTTGGATAAAATCATTACATAGTGTGTGACAAGTGGCTTCATATTAACACCCTTCCTCCTTCTGCTAAATGGAAAACAGATAAAACATTAATGGAAAAGCATTTTGGTGTCAAAGCCATTAACATTCTTCCAAAATGCATAACTGCTCTTGACTATCTTCAGTCAATATTGCCAACATAAAAAGATGCTCATGAATGTACACGGGGGACAGGGGAGTAAAGAGGGAAGGGAGGAAAGGAATTGGAATGAGGAATGGGAAATAATTATGTCTGTATTAGGGTAGGCATCTTCATTGAGCAGGAACCTGGGTGTTCACAAGAGGACACGTGCAATTAGAAAGGCAAGCAGATGAGAGGATAAAAAAATAAAACAGGGTTGAGCAACAGCAGCAGCAGCAGCAGCAGCCAGTTTTACTTCTGGATTGGAGGGAAAAAAAGAGCAAAAGAAAACCAACAAAACAAACAAACAAACAAACCAACCAATAACTGAATAAAGTTTGTAACTATTTTTTTTTTTTTAATTTCACAAGTTTTCACAAGGACAAAGTTATAGAAGGAAACCCACAGCAGTTGCTAGGTCATGCAGAACCATTAATTGTCATACCTTGGCCCATTCTATTCATCCTTGTTGCACTTTAGAAAAAGAAGTAAGCTATGTAAGTTTTACAATGCTTTTAAACTGTCATATTTCCTGTTGAGCACTTTAACTGGCACATCCTTGTAGTAATAAATATTCTTAGGGCAAAATATGATAACTTTCTTCGAGAAAAGAAATACATGAATTTGTCTTTAGGGTGAAGAGCAACTGTAGTAGACTCATTTGTGGGGGAGCATCCATAATTTGCAATGTAGTTCATTGATAGGAGATACAGCTGCATTTAAATGCACATACACATATGTACTGTATTCCAATCATTATGCTTAACACTGCACAGTGGTACTCTCTGCAGCCCACTTAATATGGTTCCAGGTTTTGTCAGTAAAAGTGCTTGGCTTCATTGTCAATTCACACAGCAAGCAAATCTTCAGAATTATCATGCTTGGGAAGGGAAGGGTAGAAAACAACACTAACCATAAAAGCACCTTGTCTGGGTTGGCAGTTAAAATGCTAATCATTTCCACATCCAAGTATTTATTCCCTGTCTGCATGCTTTCTTGCTGGGTAGCCAGGGAAGGTGGCATGTGCTTCTTGCCTCCCTACCCTGGGAAACTCTTCATACCAGCTAGATGTAGTTCTGTATTTCAGAAGGTTGGCATTTGAAATTCAAAAACCGAGCTTGAAGTATCATTTCTATGATTATCTAGAATAGGTTCCAGTTCACTATTGTATTTAATTCGCTGCCACAGTTTTTGTTTGTCTAGGTGTGTCATTGATGAGAATCTGCAAGAACCAAATTCTAGCAAGTGTTTAGAACATGATGCCTCAGCACAGTGAATATTGCCACCCCAGCCCACTTGCTTTGCGAGGGCACAGCGATTTTTCTTCCCAAATGGAAAAGACCTTAAAGGCACTCGGTTGTCTTCCCTGTCTTCCTCCATACTGGCATGCACCTGTTGAAAAGAACTAGCTAGAACACAGAGCAGGATTTCTAGAGGTTCTTCACATATTAGGACTCTTGTTGGAAGATTTATACCACTATTCTATCATGGAAAAGTTAAGCTACCATCTGGGGAAAGGAACAAAGTCACTTGAGATCTGATACTTAAGCATAGAAAAATGCTTGCTCTTTTCTGAACATTATTTATTCTGTACATAAGGTGACTAATTCACCTTTTAAAGACGTAGAAGTCCCAGGAAGGCAGTTTTTAATGACTTACATCCAATATTTATGATACATATGGCTTTTTATCCCAAATGTCAAAAGTGAAAGAAAATATAGCTATTCATGTGGCAGTATAAATAGACAGAATAATAATTTAATATGCAATTAGATTCTTTCTAAGCTTAAATTAAACCATTGGAGTTTTACAACTTCATGCCCAGACAATTTCAGTGTTAAAGGGAAAAGACACTATCTCCAAAAAGGCTACTATTTTAGAGAAAGTCCTTAAATAAGCAGAAAAGTCCCTGATGTTGCTTCGGTATAAAGCAGGTGCGTAGCAATTATCTATATGAGTGTAAGCCCTATAAAATATAAGCTTTAAGAGTGAAAAATCAGTCGGGATTTTTCTTTTCCCAATAGGTTAGTTTTAAAAGCTTCAAATAAATTTAGCGACTCCTGTAAATATGAATATAAAAAAACCTGCTGAAACATACATCAACACTTCTGCACTAGATTACTTTCTTTGTGTGATTCTGACATCAAGAGCAAGTATTCATGTTAAATACACTCTATTTTCTCATATGTAGAGTAACTGCAGTGAGTTATTTATGTTTTCAGTGTGCCTATGGGTTTAGAAATTTTTTTCTCCCCTAGCATCATAAATAACTTTTGGTCCGTCTGCTTTGTTGCTGTTGTGCTTAAGGGTTTTATGGTGGTGAAATAAAAATGACAATCACATGCACACTGTCATACATATGCAAAATATGTGTACAAAAAGGGGAGAACTCCATGGGAAAATGGGGAACATTACTGCTGGAAACATTAACTGGGGAGAATGGGTGGTGAATGCAAGTTTCACACACAGTGGGAGCAGGTACACGTATCAAAGTCTATCTTCCTGCACATACTTCTGTTTTTCCCGTGAATCTCTGGTCTTGGTGCGATTCGGTCGGTTTGCTGTTGATGGGATGGAGTGAACTGATGAGCTCTTCTTGCTGGAAGAATAGGAGGAATGGGAGGAATGAGAAAGACTGGCCCGAGACTGGCCAGCATTGTGGTCAAATTGCATCAAACAGAAGATCAAGTCTGTCGGCACAAGCTCAAATTCATATGGCGGATTTGTGATAACGTAACTGTAAAGAAAGGAAGAAAGACAAAAAGAAAGACAAAAGAAAGAAAGAAAAAAAAGAGAGAAAACTCATTTAGATTTGTACTAACAAAAAATTCTTCTAAAGTTATCTCAAGAACATTTACATAGATTTTTGCATTTCTGTTTCCTTCAGTGTGTACCTAATTTCAGTTCACACAATACTCATTATTATTTAGGACCTTTTTATGCCAAATGCCTCTTTTTGTATGCTTTCTGTTGCACAGACATACTGCCTAAGTACTATATTCTTTCTTCAGGTGAATCATGTCATGATTTTTCATTACACCATACAAATCACGCTCCTTTCACTAATTGCACCATAATGCGATGACTGTAGCAAACAGATTTGCATATTGACAAAAAAACCAGTAACATATCCACCAGCAATGGTATTTAAAAGAATGGCTGAAAGGCAGGGATGCAGTTATATTTAAATATATATTTACTAGATATTTAATAAATAAATAATGACAGTAGAGCAAAGGATATAATTATTTGTTTGGATTGTGACTGTATATAAACCAAGTAAAATATATCAGAATATTTGCAGTAAGATTAATTTTGTTCATTCATTCAACATGTACATTCATGACCTCAAAAAGCACTTATTAAGAGAAATCTATACATCCAAGAATCTAGCAGTGTTAAGTATTGCCAAGCATCGAAAAAAGCCATCTATTTCAAGAATCTCCACCTCCAACTAACTCCTTTTGAGGGTAAGAAGGGCTTATGGACCCTGCTGCTAAATCTTTTCATGCATGTGAAGAACATATTTGAGCAAGCCAATGGGCACTTTCTGTCCCATCAAGAAATGAGTAAAAATTGATCACAAAGCTCACAACTTCTCTTCAAATTAATTCAGTGCTAGTAAGAAATCTGCTTAGCTGCCTCAGGGACAGAAGTCACTTACTTATCCAACAAATAATCCCAAATATAGCAAGTAGAGTGTAAATCTAACCTGAAAATAATTTCTTCTACCCAATTTGTCCAAATCCTTACAGAAGAAACTGATCTGGTAGGCTGCAGGGTTGTTTATTGCCATGTTCACCCCATAATTGTAGAGAATGAAACAGCAACAGATGGTAGATTTGCAATAGTTCTGGTATGGGTCTGCGTGTGTATTTCTAGGGAGCACTTAATTAAGACACATTTCAAGTAAGCTGCTAAATAGCCTCCAGTCCGACAGATGCAAATGTGTCTGCTCTATTAAAAGCACTGAGGTCAGCCTTGGTGCTACCGAAGTGAAAATGCAGCCTAGCAAGAGAAAGGTTTCCATTTACTGGAAGAAATGATGGTCAGATACAGATAGTACCAAGGGGAAACCCACGGGAGTATTTTTTGAGCATTTGAAAAAAAGAAAATCTAGCTACTAGAATCTAAACTATTATCCAGTAACTTACAGCTGATTAGATAAGCAAACTGAAGTCCTTTCCTTCTACGCAAGCAGTGCATAGCATCATAAATCAAACAAGAAAGAGAGATAGATGTTCTGAAAATTTGCTTTAAATTTTTTTTGTTAAAATTAGCTGAAAACATATGCTATGACAGCCAGCCTAAAGCTGGGTTAAGCTTAAACTGAGCTCTTAAGCTCAGTTGAGGAGTCATCATTAAGTCCTCAAAGAGTTTGCTTTTGTGGCAAAGTTATGTAAAAAATAGAGAAAGCTCGTTTTCAGATTTATTACAGGCACTGGGATCTTCCTCACTCGAAGACTGAAGAACAGTGAAGCGGAGATGTTCTGAAAGACTAGACTTACCGTTTAGTGCATTGGCTGGGAGTGCTTAGATGTGCATCCCTTAATCGATAAATCCCAAAGCAAAGCATATTGTATGTTTTCAATGCTTTACAAAATAGATCTCCATAACAACCTCCATCCTAGGAGAAAACAAGGAGAGGAAGAAAAAGAGAACAACACTGATTTTTTTTTTTCATTTTTCTTTGTTAACACAATCCCAGGGAGCAAGATTTTCAGTATAAGCCTGTACAAAAAGGACAATGTATAGTCAGTCTGCGGTTTGTCACAAATGAGGATCTTTTACTCAAGAAAATGAGTAATCTAAAATGTTTTATTTCAAATAAGCAATGATGTAAAGTTATTATTTTGGAGATCCTTGGTCCATGAAATGACCGTAAATTGGGAAGAGTGAGTGGTTTGCTTTAGGCTGGAAATACAAGCTTTGGTACCAAACAATGCATATTCTACAAATTACATTAAATGTGGTATTAAGATTTTTTTAGTATTTTTGACCCTTTTTTGGTAGTAGCCATACTGTCACCTAGATAAATAAATTTGTTGGGGAGCACAACAGAAATAATGAAATGTATGTCATATTTCACAGCCTAAGATATTTTTATTAGAAAAAAAATTAGATTTCATAGTTTGTATATTTAAAATATTGATTCTTAAGTAGTAATAAGTGTTACTGCATTCTGCCTTCACCAATGTAGTGCAATTGAGGCCCTGGCAAAACAGCATTTGAAGGACTGGTATTGCTTGCTTTATTTGTGAAAACATAACACTGCTGCCCAAGTGTTCTGATGAGCTGTTAGTCTCAGTTATGAATGGACTTCTACATGAATTGAAAGGCTATTTACTTCTGTGTATCCTCTTCACCCTTAATCCTTAAACTGGGATTTCCTGTCATTTCTATGAAGAAGGTCACTCCATTTTTAACAGAAACTGTGAACAGAAGGTTAATTTAAGAAATATCAAATCCTGCATCACCATCAAAGTGAAGTGACTGCTTTGGGATTTGACTCAAGATTACAAGATTTGGTCTAGAAAACATTTCTACATACCTCTTTATGCCAATGCACTCTTTTTTAAAGATGGTTTGTTTATTGGTTTATTTTGCGTTTGTGTTTTTTTTTTCTTTTATTTCATCCTTAGGATAATGGAGTAAATATACAAAAAAAAAATACAGGATTTTGCAAGAATGCTGCTTCGTCCAGAAATTCAACAAAACTCAACAAAGGTATTGATATTGTTCATGTTTACAATAGATTACTGTTAGAATGGTTACATCATCTAAGTCATAAGATTCTATATGATTCTGTTCTAAGTCAGCTCATCTATTACTAGCTGACAGCTAAGAGCCACAGGATTTTCTGCAGGAAATATCCAGGCAAGGAGTCTCGGAAGTCATATAGCTTCTCAAAAAGCATAAGATCAAAGCTGGGCTCTATTAAATTAAATAATAGAAATCATACACTAATTAAGATAGATTCTTAATTCAGTTTGAGAGAAAACAAATAAATTGCAGACCAGCCTTGGTCCTACATTTCCCTTGTGATCTTACCCCTAGGTCTGCAAACGGCCCATCATACAAAGCCAACTGAGCAACTCGACACCTGTCCCTGTTCGCAAGTGTCTGGGGCGTGCTGTAACCTCCTCTCAATGCATTTTCCTCAGCAATCAGTGCTTCCAGCTCTGGTGTGGCTCCTCCTGTTACCAATGTCCGTATCAGTGTGAGGATATTGTCATTGAAGTATGTCTGCAGAGATAAAAGAAAGCTCTTTAAGCAAACACCATTAAAGTCACAACTGAAGACATCCAAATTACAACTTTTCTGTGTTTCTGCTGTTTAAAGTTCTTGGCTGTCTCTTCAAATAATTTTATACAGAAAGTGAAAAGACAGCAGACTCCAATTACTCTATTTTCTTCTATCCCATTAGGCTCCTATACTAGGTCCTTCCTTTTAAACACCAATTCAGGCTGATTTTTATTAAAGTACAAAAATTTGAATGATTTATGTTTCTTATAATTGGTGTTAGTAGTGATGCAATGACTGCTTTCCTTCTCATTGCCTTCATGTCTAATAATGGGCTTTAGGACATGTAATTGTAAAATTCAGACCACATTTAAAGCTTACACAGACTAGATTGCCTTTTTACTCTTGTCACCAATTCGTTGGGGAGCTGCCTTTGTGCTGCAAATGTCATTACTTATTACTGTGGCTGGACTCTAGCAGTCTAACAATGTATTGTACTAAACATCTTATTACGAGACTTGACAGTGTTCAGACATAAGCATGTATCAATTAAACATCTTGAGTTCATCCCAGATACATGTACGATGAGTCTGGGATCCTGGTGGTCCTTTTAAAAAACTCTAGGGTATAGGGTAAGTGTGGTTTATTAGGGAAGATTTACTCCACACTGACATTTTGCCAGCATCTGTAGCATTGCTGGTCTGTCATGCAAACAATGGGTATTTTAAATATTAATTTAATGCCAGATGAATGACTTTCAAGTTCACTTAAAAGTATACTGGTATAGTTCAGAGATACTCAGATATCTGCAATGTAATGTACTGGGCAAAAAATACCTCTTTTTTTGTTGTTGCTCATTCAAAAATGAACAAAAAAAGGAGACACCATCACTTACAGTGTCACTAATGTCTGTTTTCAGAAGCTTGCAAGCATGAGGGACATGTGAGAAGAAAATGGGCTCACTGTAAAGTACACAGGATTGGCGTTACTGGAGTTGTGGATTCCATTATTAGATTTGTGACTTTTGTTGAATTTAGGACTTGGAACAAATGTCTGTAATCCAATCAAGTAAAAATGAATACTGATTTCTCAAACAGCACTTGTTTTCCAAAGATAATAATTTTTAAATAATACTTTCCATTAAATTCATTCTTCTATCCATGTAAAGTAATTGTATTTAATATGTGGGTAAACTATGGTACAGGTTGAAATATTTTATCCTGAGATCAAAAAGCAGAACTGGGTTCCTATCTGTGATACTTTGATATTCTTTCTTTGTATAATGGAACCAGTTCTATTGTTTAATTGAGATGACAGATAAAAAGGGTAGCAATGTTTTTCACTGTTACATTTAAGTTTCATAACTTCAAGCTTTTCTGCTTATTTACATATATGCCATTCACCTGTTGACTAACTGAAAATTAGAGGAACCTACTGGTATTTTTACACATGCCCTAAAGCAAATATTTGAATCTCATCAATTCCATTTATTTTATATTAGCCTTGGTAAGGCACTACATATTTTAAATACAAAGTGTAGTGTAAAGAGTTGTCTGACATCAGCAGGTGTTCAGGAAGATTCAATTAGTCTAAAATAATAGCTAATCTCAAATCAGCTCTTCCATTTCTGTATGCACTGTGTAACAATTCAAGTGCAATACTCAAACCTTTCTTAACATATAGAAAAATCAATGTGACCCCTTGCAGGAATGTAAGTCTGGAGTGATTACATGACATTTAACAGGAATGGCCACAGTGAGAGAGAGAAGACATTCAGTCATGATTATTTATTCTTCAGTTACTTCTTCCTTGATGTCCCAGAGGTGAGAATCAGTTGCCTTCTTTGACAACACTTCTCACTGCTCTATACTTTTCCAACATGGAAGTACTCAGAATAAAAAACAACATTGGCATTAAGCTTAGTCTCTTTGTCAGCGTATGCTATATACCACTCAGCTAAAATAATTAGCACAATTCCTTCGCTTCTGCACTTAGGCAGTAATGTTGCTTCACATCAGTTTCATGGATATAAAGCCAAATTCTGCCAGATCTAGATGTTGGAAGCACTGCAACTCTAGAAGCTGGAGAGCCCTTTCAGTCAAAATGGGCCTCAACTATTCTATATGGCACTTATTTAAAGTACACACCTTCACAAAAGCATACCATTTTATACAATAGTCTCTTTTATCATGCCTTCCCCACTCTTTTATTCAGTATTTTTTATCTTTTTCTTCTCTGAGTAGTGATATTTACTGTTATTCAAAAAAGCTTTTTTCTCAGTTTTACATCTTTAAGATAGAACATGAGAAAAAAGTAAAGCATATCTTCACTGGTAGATTTTTCAAGACTGGTTTGCAATGACTATGGCATGAAATGTCCACTCTTAGACTGATGGACGCTGGTTCATGCAAAATAGCCTGTTTTTATAAACTGCTGACTGCTTGTTAAAACAGGCAAAAGTCTAAAATAGTACTAAGAATCTTATTACTTGTTAGGAGGTATCATTGGGCCAGCATTCAGTTTTCCAACTCCTTATCCTGTAATTCAAATTATGTCAAATATAGCCAGAATCCAAGATATAAACACATATAGCTCACCTGAATTTTGTGCTATGCAAGTTCACAACCCTTATAAATTCAGTTGTAGCTCCATAGAGCATGATCTACTAAAAAATTATACTGTGGCCATATTGCTCATTTTACTACAGATCTCATATTAAACCAAGAAATGAAATCAGGAGTAAAATAATGTATCAAGTCAGGCACCTGTCACAAATTCATTAATACAAATATAATAAAATACCCCCTTCCCCAAATCCCAGTGTAATTAAGACATAATGGGCCCAATTTTGACTTATGTCATGCGCCAACCAGGAGTAACTCTGGGAGCCATACACTACTATAAGACTGATGCAAATGAGAAAAGAATCAGGTCTATTGTTGATGGAACAGGATGCTGTCACTGAAGAAAGGCTTCCCACTGCTAGACAAATGTTAAGGCAAAGCTGAGACAATTATTAGCAAAGGATGCAACATTTATCTTGGAACAATGGTTTCATTTGAGTTTCACACCATGAATGATGTGGATGTCACCATTGATGAGAGTGAAGCCAAATTATGTTTTTTGGGGTTTTGCCATCTATGAGTGGAAAGATTCCAACTTTCAGGACAGACTGCTCTGGCACTGCAACTGATCAGAAAAATCCAACCATAAGTAAGAAAGGATGGGTGAATTAGAAAGCTGTAACTTGTCACCTTCTGCTGAATAGGGTTGCTTCCTCCTGTACTAATACACTCCCCAGGAAAAACCCAGCTAGCCATAATTTCGATTGTCACAAAAATCAGACTCCTCTCATTACCTCTTGCAATTTTGGAACTGGTGAACACTGAAAAGCAGAATTAGTTGATATCCATTTCCTTTAGAACAATAATACACTGAAATTAATTTGAGAGTGATCTTCTACTTGCTCTCTGGGATGGTACATGGCCTGGATATGCCAGTACTTGTAAGAAGCTGATCTACAGAACATCTTTGGAAAGGTGCTGCTGTACTTAAAGTAACAAGACACTTTCCAGTGATGGTAGTAAATCCCTTTTGTTGACTGTAAAATCATAACTGAAGAAATACTTGTTTGATGCTGCCATTAACAAGCCCAACACTGGACATCTGTATGACATCGCTATGATCAGCATCCTGAATAAGAATGTGAAATAAGTGTTGTCTGAACAGAGAAAAAAGGAAATGCATCATAGACATTGAAACTGGGTAAATAGCAGGGAAATTCTGACATAGATATTTGAGCTAGCAGTGCCACCTAGCCCATGCTCCAGAATTGTAGCACAGCTCTCTCAAATGTTTCGGGCATGCTTTCCCATTTGTTCAATCATTTTTTAAAGTATAATTATCAGAGTGCTTATGTTTTGTAGTTAACGCTGACAAGTCTTTTAAACTAATTGGTCTTTTGCAGAAAATTTAACTGAAAATTAGCACATCTTTTAATAACATTGCTTTAACTTTAATAGCACTTTGCCTTTCATTTAGAATTACTTTAAAATTATCATTTTCCAAGTCATATCTGCCATTTTTTCTTGTGTTTCTAGTGGGTTATTTTTATGGTTTTCTTTTAAGAAGACACCTCCTCCAGTACATTTGGTTTTTAACATTTCTTTCAAACAAATATTGCAACTGGGTTTTCTTTTACAGTTGGAGGAATTCTGTTGAATGAATGATTTATATCCAAACCTGATGGACAGCTGAACTAACACTGCTACTTTATACCAATAACAAAACAGCATTTGAGACAGAATCAACAGCAGAAAATAAATAACAGCATTTCACGGTTTGAAAATCCATTGATCCTCAAGATACTGTTCAAGCTTTAAAGAAATTTGGGACACTTCAGGTTACAAGATGCTGCTTGCTATTCCCCTTAACCAGCTTGCATAAAAAATAGTCTTGTTTCAAAATGTCCATACTGGAGATTAGAACAGTTTATTTTAGGTACAAATAAGACTGTAAGGATCCCTGAGGGAGAACTCTTGAGCAATGGGTATACTGAAAAGTTATTTTTAACTAACTGTTTTAACTTTGTCTTCTATTCTGTGCTTCCATTTATATGAAGAAAAAATCGCATTTAGCATTATAGAACAAAACTTAAGTCCTAAAGTTCTAGCACAAGGAAATAAATTCTAGGATATGGGATGCTAAATGGTATAATCCATTTCTGGAGATCCTTGCCTTTAACAGCACCACTCCAACAGTATATCAAGTTTATTATCAGCAGTATGCATGGGAGGGATGCCAACCTGCCAGAACTTCTGTGGTTCTCATAGCCTCAGTGCCAAAAGGAATAACATAAAATCTTTGGCTCTCTGGCCAACTGTTTAAACCTTTGAAGGTACTGTGTGTTGATAAAACTGGTTTCCTTGCATGCACAGGATTTTCTTGAATAACTATCTCAACAAGACCCAGAAAAGGAAAAAGTACTTCTCAAAAATTTGCTTCTCTTAAGCTATCCTATGTAATGTAGCTTTCTTATAGCTGAAGATAAACAAAACACCCACATTATCTAAAAAATGCTTCCAATCCCATGGTTTTTAGTCCCATTCAGTTTGGTAATGAGAATGTGCTTTGCTTTACAGTAGTAGCACCGCTTGGAGACCACCACCTGGGTTTGCATATGCTATGAGAAAACAAATATTAATGTATCATTCACGTCTCTGATGCTAGTAGACATCTCTTCAAAGATATAACAATGACTAGCTGGTGCTATTTAACAATAGCCACTGCCACACTTAAAACATAAACCATGCCTACAGTCTTCACAGAGAGTAAAATAATACACTTTAACCAAAGCCTGGAGAGGCCACTGCTACCAACTCATCAAAAAGACAATGTAATTTTTTAGTTCATTATTATCTTGAGAGCAATGATCTTTGAACTACCATACTATGAATCATATGCTTGTGGAATATATTGCTTTTACCACAGAGAACAAACTGTATGTTGATAGCAGGTAGACAGCATTTTGTAAAGTAAACCTCATAGCTTTTAATGTTTGAAATAAGAAAATGAGACAATTTAAAATTTATAATATCTAATATGTCATCTTATAGGAAATAATGCTAAACTGGAAGAATATAATGATCTTCAGCATTCAGTTTTGAATCAGAAAGTGACCAAGCATTTTCTAATCTGTGATTTATAAGTAGGGTAGAGCCCACTACTTCTATATTAATAAAATTATATGAAAAAAAAAAATTCAACACTGATCAATATTGTTGAATTACTATTATTCAATAACTGAACACTTCAAAAAATTATTTATAATTTTTTTTTTTTTTTGCATCTATATGTATGTTTCGAAATACCTGCAAGTCAGAAAGACACACACTGTGTATGTGGGTATCATTCTATTTTCTAATCTTTCTTACAGCAGTTTTACTATGAAACTACACCAGTGTAAGAAGAGATTCGTTCTTAATGGTACAGTTCATGCATTGCATGTCTACACAATTAATAGAATGAAAGCATGACTGCAAATCTCTCAATTTAGTTAGGATTTGGGCTTCAGGTTTCCAGTACTGGCTCTAAATCAGGTAGGATAAATAGAAGCTGGTCCCTGAAACAAGAGTACTCTAGGGAAAAAAAATAAATAAAAAAAAAGAATAATTAAAAAAAAGAGGTAATATAGTGCAAGTAGATTAGTTTGTGTGAAAAACACTCTCTTCCTTGGAGAAGAAGTGAAAGGAGAATACACGATTCCCATGAGAGTAGGAATAGTAAACATTTCACACATCTTACACTTTCTGAAGGGTCAGGAAGAATTGTACTTTTCAAACTCTTTACTAGGCCTTTGAGGAATAAAAGAGAAAATAACACTGCCACCGATCAGCAAAGCAGTGAAAGAAAAGACAAAATGGTGAACAAAACTAACCGACTGTACCCTTGGCTTGTCTTCTTGATTAGTACTTTTTCAAAGTTAGAATTTCTACTCTTGTTATCGCATTTAGTTCTCTGGCTTCAGGCTGCGCTGCCCCTGACATATGACCACTTAGATGTGAAAATGCTTGAAAAAAAGACTCTGTTGAAGAAAGGAATTGCAGATGTGGAGGGGCATGGTGTCAAAAACTAAAAGTTAACAAAAGCAAGCAAAACCTAAAAATATTGTGATCATGTGATTAGCTCCAAGTAAAAATTTTTGAAGACATTTTCTACATATTCTTATTGCCTCACTACTATTTACACGATATGCCTTCTTTGCACAAGAAAGCAATGGTGTCCACAACATTTTGCTCTCTTTTTGTGGTGATGCCAGTGGCAATCAGAAGAATTAACTTTACTTTTTCCAAGATTTTGGAAGTGCCCTACTGAACTATTCATTCAGGGACAATAATTTAGTTAGTAGTGTGAGTAGATAAACAACTTTCATTTTAACAATTTAGAACATATGAAACTATTCCCATTTATAATGTGAAATGCTAAATATTTTATATAGAGAGATTTTAATTAGAGAAGGTACAGAGTTTGAGTGTTCTTGCTTAGGCTTCCTGAATTTGCCACGTATGCAAAATATGGCAAATAACATTATAAAAAAAGTATTTTTTGAGTTCATTGCAAATTCTAGACTGCGTTAGAATAAAAATTCAGCGGTGCAGACAGACTATTCAACTGTAGACAGAACATGTAAGTAATAAGCAGAGAATAGATGTATAAAATGCAGATACATAAATATGAGATATTAATATTAAATAATAAAGATAACTATCACTTTTTCTTAAAAGCAAAAAGCTTCATCCTGAATTTAGGTGAGGGTCAGACTTTGCTCCTTCAAGGAAATCTGTTTGCTCATTTCTAATACCGTATGGGGTTTGCAGCAGATAATTCCCAGCACTATAGAATATTATTCCTTGGAGAGACTATGCTCAGATTTTTAGAAGACTATGTTCTTGCTACACCTAGCAGGGCACAAGCCTGGTTTGAAACCTTAACCAGTATGAAGCAAGGGAGGATGAAAAGGAGTATGACTGTGGCGTTTGCTTTGAAACTGTACTATGAATGCAAACCAAAAAGCCCAACGTAAATGTAACCAAAGGCCACCATCTGCAGTTTCTGTCATGCACTTACGTTTTGATTCACAAGACAACTCATGTCAAAAACATAGATAACCTCTCTTCACACAAGTAGAGTTCATGTGATGTGTACAATGGCTTTCATAAAGTTCTATCACTGTCTCCCTGTGTCCATATTCACAGCATTGCTCATGGCTACAGGAAATTAAAAGCTTAAAACATGGTTGAGGCTGTCTGACATAAATGGTAAGAATAGGGACTAACACACTGAATTTGTGTCTGGTTCTCAGGACAAAGAGACAACATTTTTTGGAAAATATTATACTCTAAAGCTTGACATGAGACTTTTTGATTTTAAAATTGTGGACTCATGTTCATCTTGTATACCTCAGTTGTTCTAAGGTCTGTGTGTCCAACCAAAAAATAGCCACGTTTAGGCTCTGAAATTCTCTTTACACCTAAGAGAAAATTGTCTTCTCCCAACAACCAGTGGAATAGGGACTACACTTTCATAATCTTTCACAATAAGTCTGATGTAAGAGAATGGAAAAGGTTTTGTCTGCTTACTGCGCTCATGAGAGAGTCCAACACACTGACAGCAAATGCGGTTCCACATGCAAATGGCTGCGTGAGATACAGTTCTGTGTCTGGATCATCATCATCATCTTGGTCCAAGAACTGAACATTTGAATCATTTACTGAAAATAATAATAAAAATCAAATCATAAGGTGTTTCTGGGTCACAAGCATGTGACCTTACACATTACACAGTCAGAAAGAAAAAGAAACAGCATATGTCTGGAAACATAGACTTGTGTCTTTGACGTCACTGAAAATGAAATCAAGATGGATGTGAAAATGTGCATTTAAAAATCTGTTGATTATTATCTTGCTTGTAAGAAATGACTCTCTTGTTCTTAGGAAGTGACTACCTCTTTGCCGTAAAAGTAGCTTCGTGGCACAAACTGCCTGCACTCAAAATGAGATACATGATGCTCTTTTATATATTGAGACAATATTGGTATTGGTTGAATACAGTGGCTAAGGCTGTATACATGTACAATGAAAAGTTATCACAAGATAGCAAGTAAGAACCCCATTGTAAAATAAAGGCTGTCCATAAAACTCCTATATAGCCCACAGGCACCTGTTAAATATGCTGCTCTGATTCTTACTGGGGTGGTGTTAATGCACTTACAGCTTAAAAGAGATAAACTGTCCTGTTAACATGCATCTATCTGAAAGAATGAGCAATACTCCAGCTATTTTCTTGCAGCACTGCCTTTTGTTCAAATGTTTGTCACCATAACTTCAGTTCCTGAGCCACATATTCTGCATTAGCCAGTGTGAATCTACTGTTTTAAAGAAAAAGTCCGAATAAAGTAATATTTGTCATTTAGACTTGCTCTGGTATTTCATTGTCACACTTAAGGTCTCTGCCTCCATCTCATTCCATTGAAAACAGTTGTTTCCTTGATATCAGTGTATCAAGTGTACCATATTTCATTTAATACTTCATTTCCATATTAGTCCTCCTGAGACATGAAAGCACAGACTGCTTAGTTATGACATTGAAACACCCTTTAACTTATTAAATGACAAATTAATTTCAGTTCCAATGCAAATAAAGCAAATTAAAAACTTTTTCATCATTTGAAACAGCACACGTTGACTGTGTTCTAATTCCTGTGTGAACACATCTCCTGACCCAGCCAGTGAGCTTGGAAAACAACATGAGAGCTGCCTTTAATTTGATCTGGTTTCAGCTCTGGACTTCTTAGGTTAGAAATCCTTTTGCCTTCTATTCAGATCTTCCTTCCTATATAGTTTAATTTTCCATCCACTCCTTTTCCAACCTGTATATATTACTGTGCTTGCAGTGCTTAGCTTACAAACATGAGTAACTGTAGATAAAGTCTCACAAATAGCTGCCTAATGGAGATGAGAATTGTTAGTTTCCATTTAGAGCACTATTGAGACAGTACTTGGACATGATCATTTAGTCAGGACCTGAGCTGAAGTAGGATTTAAAATTCCTGCCTCCCCACTCCCTGATGTAACCATAAGTACATAACACTTCAGCATTGCAAATGGAGAATTGCTCTGCCCCAGGAGTCAGAAGAATTTCATTGTAGCAAACACCAATATCCATGATATTCCTTTCTTTGTACAATGGCTATCAATTTGTTCTCCAAATTCTTGAGCAAAATAGTATTCAAGAGTCTGATGTGTCATTTCAAAATGTACTTTTTGAAGAGCTTGTGCCTTAGTTTAATGTGCTAGTTGACAGTAGGTGCTATTGTAGCATTTGTTTTCCACTTATATCTGGCACACCAATACCTGACTTTGACACTAGCTTGCTAGCCATGCGTGGTGTCAGTTTCCAAGCTGCTACAAACCTAATGTGAATTCTGCATGCGTGATCTTATCCTCAATATCTTTATCTTTCTGGTGCAAGTTAGCACTCTAGGATTTCTACTTAAAATCTCTGGGCTAGGTGAGGTAGGCTCAAACGCATGGTGCTGCATCACAGGAAATGCGCATCAAACACTGGTCACTAAAGCTGGTGAGAGCTCTTTATTGAGAGGGAGCAACACACAAGCTTGTCTGCTTTTCTGCAGCTTCAAAATTGAGCTTCTGAGAAAAGGCCTACTTCCCACAATAAACAAACAAATAGCTTAAGGGAAAATATGATGCTGGGGGGGGGGGGTGTGTGTGTTCTGATATCTTTTATTTCTTGGACTTCCTGTGGAATTGCTAAGGTATGTCCACCAAACTGACAACAGGCTGAGGTAACAAAAAGAGAAAAGAAAGAGAGAGAAAAGGAGAGAAAAATTGGTGGAGGGGGAGGGAAGGCCCAGGAGGTGGGGACCCAGGCCAAAGAAAATGAATTGGTGAGAAGGTGCTATGGAAACAGCCGGCAGGTCAGACGAGTGTGATCAAAGGTTTACTGATGCTGCGTGAAAAAAAAAATCATTAAGAAAGGCCAGAACAAGACAGTCAATTTCAACCAGAACCACAAATAAAACACATTCAAAGCAGTGCCATGAGGGTAGCCCCTCTGATACAGCCAGATAAATAAAGGAAAAGCTGATGACAGTAAGAACAACAACAGAAAATAAGACAGTGATGTGAAGGAAAAAGGCACTCTTACCCAGTTCAGTTATCATTAGAATGTGGGTTCCACTGTTTTTTTCCTGACTGATTGAAACCAAAGGCAGAAGTTTGCCAGGCTTAGCTAATAAGTAAAGTATTTAGGGGGAAAAGAAAGTACAGAAAGAGAATAAAGTAAGGGAAAAAGACAGGTAAGGCTCTAAAAAATAAAACTGAAAAAGAAAATAAAAGGACAAAGGACCACAAATCAAGTTTGTATTTGCCATGAAAAAAACAGAACAGCTTCTGCACTTCACATCACGCCACTTGACAACATAAATACCCACAGCTAGAGTGGAAATCAGAGCCTGGTTACCTACCATCATTGTAATCTCAGGAGTAAAATGTCTCATGCTATTATACAGAGTTTGGTTACACATGATTAAACAGTTCTGGACCATGAAGAAATAAACAAATGGCCTCTTACTATTGATTAAATGCACAGGAAATGTCTGCTCATACTTATTGTGGTTTTTTCTTTTCTAACCTTAGCCCAAATACCTCTGCTTATTTGTTCCAGTATGTAAAAAGCATCTCTGATAGAGTGTTTATTTAGGAAAATGGAGAAAACCCAAAGGAATGAGAGAACTATATATCATTAATTCAAACAAAAAGTGAAACTGTTACTAATCTTTTGTTAGAGAGAGTAATTCAAAATAGTTATCAGAAGAGAAAACAGCAGCATAAGATACAGTATAGGTAACTTTCCTGAGACTGCGTAACAAGAAAAGTGGGGATATCAGAATACACATGAAAGGGTAAACACTAGCTTTCCTTACCTAACTCTGTTATAATAGGGATGTTGGCTCCTGTTGTAATGGAGGGTTGACGTAAAAGGCCATGGACTGGACTGTTGTCTGGAGATGACCTATCCATCCCAGGGGGTGTAAAGCCTAAAAGAAAAAAAAAAGAAAAAGAAAAAGAAAAAGTTTGCATAGCACAGATAATATTAAAAAAATCCCCACCAACAGGGAATTCTCTATCTCTATGTTTTTACCCCCAGAAAAGTATAGCAAAAAAATTTTCATTTTAAACCAAACTTTACTTAATTTTCCACAATTATTTTTTCAAAGCATAATACTTCACAAATATGCAGGTCATTTCTACTGTAAGATATTTGGTAGCTAATGGAGAAACTGAAATTTATTATCCTAGGTAGCCTTTGTATCAAAACATGCAAAATGGAAAGTGCAATGATTACTTAAATATAAGCAAAAAATAAAGACTTCACTATTAGAGTGGTTTAATTTTGTCCTATTTGTATTTTAAATAATCCTGAAACAAGCACCTTTCCTTAAACCTCAATTAACATTTTAAAGAAAGAGTATTGGAAGCTGTATATCCAACCTTGAGGTTGCGTGAGGGTGGACCAGCGCATGGGTAGCTTGAGATTACTCAGGAGATGACAGTCCTGGTCGGACACTCCCTGACTGCCTAAGCACCCTTTTCCAACCAGATTTGTATATGCACATGCCCTTGGTCATCGTGCTTGTAGTAAGCGTGGTTAAAGCCCTTCCCAAATCTTTGCTTGTGAAGCCAAGCCATCAATCGTTTATAAACAGTAGTATGACCACAAGGAACAGTTTGCTTTTATTGGCAAGTTTTAAGCTTAATCAACATGCAGGATTTAAAATTTTCTGTTTTCCAGGAGCAATAGAACCCATACATAGTTGCTTGTTTTTTTTCTTTTCAAGTGTACCATAATGCACATTTTTATAAGGATTACAATTATAGGAATGGAAGGGCCCATTTTAACAGAAAAAAAAAAAAAAGAAAGGATAGGGTGGAAAGAAAAAGACAGGTTTTCAAAACGTATGTAAGAGGAATGCTTGCAAAGAAACTAGAAAGAGTTTTATACCTTTGGGGATGTAAAGAAAACAGAGGTGGTAGAGGAAATATATTGGCAGGCACTCAAAGGAAAAAAAGAGATCTGGAGAGCAGCAAGGTTCATCTCTAAAAAAGACTGTGTTTTCATCCTGATTCTCTACGCAGTTTGAAATGGTGTTCTTGACACTATATTTTTTTTTTTTTTAAGTAAAAAATATGCAGGCAAAGCCCTTTGGAGTTTGATTGCAAGTACTGAAAAAAAGACGGTTACACAAAAGCCCATGCAACAGTTGGACTGGAAATTCACAGTTGAGACTAATGCATTCCATCTCCCTTGTCCATTAAAGCTGCAGAAAGCATGTTTATTTAATGTCATTATTGCAGAAGTGATGGTAAAGATAGAGTTAGAATTTAGAGTTTCACACAGATCAATGTCAAGGCAGTATTTTTAAGCAAATATTTGTCTGCTTGGAATAGGATTGAGCCAAGCTCACTGCAAAACACACATTTCTGAGAAAGTATTCTTCTTTTTTGCCACATTATTACTGAGTTCTTTGATTTCACACCTGACATCATCCAGGGACAGACTTTTGACCCTCTGTCATTACTGGTCTGAAATAGTTTTGAATTCTCCATATACCAATTCTAAATTAATCACAGCCAAATTAACTTCTGATATAACTTCATTATCTTCTTGCAGTATGGAAACTGTTTCATTGTGTTAAATTAATTGATGCATTCATTTGCTACTGAATTCAGAAGAAGATATGGTATTATCTATCTATTTTACCTTTCTTCAGTTTAAGGGCTAATTTACAAACCAGGAAATCTCTAAACTAAACTGTAGTTGTTGACATGTGATACTGGTTTCATAATGTTTGAGAGATTTATGGCTCTTTTCCTGTTGAATTACCATCACTTTTAAACTGCCTCTCATCAAGACAAACTATAATTAATATATAAGTAATAAAATTAGAAAGAACCACTGAGAAGAGAGACCCTTCAGAAGGTAGTATTATGAATTTCCTTCTGACTGTCATGTAGAAAGCTAGATACAACATGAGGACTGTAACAACAGGATAAGTAAAAAGGGAGTGAAAAGTCTGTGAAGAAATTTCTTAAGAGAAAAGAAGTCGATGTGGTATCTTCAACAGATTGCAAGACAAAGACACCGCCATAAGTAAACCCAAGACAGCAAAGCAATTCTATTTAATATTACCACTGCATATAAAATCTTTAGAAAGCAGATTTTTTAGAGACAATTGGAAATGTTGGCAATTTGATGTCCATCATTTAATACTACCCCTTGTGCTGAAAATAATTGAATTAGACTGGCATGGTGATAGTGAGCTGCATTCCCAAATGGTCTACGTTTGCAGATGTTTCCTTGTGCCTGGCACTGTGACTGATAGCTGTATTGGCTCTTTGAATGCTTACTTCTGCACTGCAGAGCCTCGGATTTCTCAGACACACAGAGTCTAATGTAGTTCCTTCAGGCACCACATGTCATGTCTTGAGCAGTTAAAGTGGCAGGCCCAGTTGGGTCCTCTGCAGAATTACAAGTCAAAACAGCAACAGTAAGACTTTTTGTTCACTTATCCAAGAGCAAACTAATCTTTTTCCTATGTGCCCTAGGGGTTGTACTGCTGGGAGCACCCTTAAAGGCCCTGCTTCTCTCTATTTCCTGAAGGCTTTTCTCTCCCCATTGCAGGATGCATTCCCTAAAATATCTTTTAGTGAATCAGGCTCTTCAGATGTTAAGAACACATCAGTATTTTCCTACTAGGTAAAAGCAAACTGAAGAAAGTTGGCATAACTGCATTTAAATGTGTCTTTCTTGCCTTCCTGCTACTGAAATGTGCACACACAGAGACGCACACACATGCATACTCTCCATCGAAGGCTATTTGTAGCCACCTCTCCTAGCCCTTCAAATATTTGTCTTTCTAGGATGGTATTAGAAGATGGAAGCAAATGTGGCATTTCTGTTAGACACAGACTGTCAGGAGCTCTGTAATTGCACACTGCACACATAGTGCATTCAGTCTGAAATGCAAGAAGCATGTTAAAGAGATTTTGTTTTCTCCTTGAATGAAAAATAGACTCATGCCTTGATATTTTTTATCCTATGGTCTTGGAAAATGTGAGAAATATTTGCTATTTTAATTTAATTTCCTTGCCTGAACTTAATTCAGACACCCCTACAAATCCACTTTTAAAAATATAAAAATCTTGGAATATTTTCAGATAAAGGAAAATAGGAGTACTTGGGGATTTAGTGTGCCCACATTTGGACTCACAAAGCATCATACACCTTCAGGCCACATTCCTGCTCCCAAGTCACAACATAAATTCTATACATAGGGACCCTTTTTTTTTCCTCCAGGAGAGAGAGAGAAGGAAAAGAAAGTGCAGAAAAACTAACCTGCTTTATCAGAACTTTGGTTTAAAGGCATGAAAAACTACAAGTGACAGCTGTGCAGATTCAGTGAATGTGACATTTCTGAATTTCTTCAACTTGACAAGTAAACACCTTAAATCGGTAATGCTATATGCATAATACATGACCTGTATTTTGACATCCATCATCAAATGCTGACTTGAGAAAATACGGGTTTGTACGTCAAGGAATAGCACCCATAAAGCAGGGAGAAATTCAGGTCACAGGGTATTAGGAAAACTCTATTTCATTACAGAAGCTGAAACAAGCTAAGGCATCAGATTTAAGATCCATTTTCAGCTGTGAAAAGATTCAATTCCTCTGCACAGAGCATTCATTTAGAAATGACATGCTTTCCTCACAGCCTCTTTTCATTTTCCTTTTCATATTCCATTTTCTCCATTTTCTCCTTCAGTCCCCAAACCTTGTTCCATTAGCACTCATAAAAATCGTAAAACAGGGCTGATAGTTGTGATCTTATAACCACAGTGTCTCCTTGCTCAACAAACAACTGAGGGAGCTGTGGCTTCAATTGCTTAACAGGATCAACCTCAACAGTAAAATTCAAACGGCCCCTGGAAGCTTAACCACAGTTCTTGCATATGGAAATACAGTGACAGTGAGGGCCTTCTGATGAAGGGAATTCTCTTTGCCAACAAGTAGGAGGTAAGGTGCAGCAAAATCCTATCAGCTCCTGCAGCCACTACATCCAATACTAAATTGCTGTAGTGGGCAAGTGATTGTCTTTGCATCACTTGGGTTTTTCTGTGGCTTGTTGGGATTTTTTGCCTCATCACTTATTAAACTGTCTTAAAAAAAACCCTTAGCCTGTGATTTTTTTCTCACTTTTGCCCCCTGCTTCTCTACTCAATAGAATTGTTTAGGTTAGAAAAGACTTTTAAGATCATCAAACCCAACTGTTAATATAGCACTACTAAGTCCACCACTAAACCATGTCCCTAAATGCCACATCTGCACATCTTTTAAACACCTCCAGGGATGGTGACTCAAGCACTGCCCTGGGCAGCCTGTTCCAACACTTGGCAACCCCTGCAGTGAAGAGATTATTGCCAATACCTAATCTAGACGTGGTGCTACTTGAGGTTATTTTCTCTTGTTTCTACCATTTGTTACTTGGGAGAAGAGAGGGGTACCTCACTACAACCACCTTTCAGGTAGCTGTAGAGTGATAAGGCCTCCCTTATCAAATGACAAAATGGCTTAGACTTAACAGGAGGTAACAAGTACCTGTCCCTCTCTGAAACAAGATGCTGCCTAACAGTGGATTAAATATATCATCCCTCTGAGAGGAATACAGGCTTTAGGCTTCTGATGTGCTCAAAATCAGTGAGGACTGGCAACTGGGAGTTACTGCTTCCCTCCCAGTAGCAGCCTCCCTCTTTGAGGCGCAGGGACTTCAGTGCCCTAACTCCACTACCTGCTCTGAAGGAATTTGAGCCTTCTGCAGTTCTCTGCAGAAAGCAGCAAGGTTCAGTGTCTTGATTCTGTGCAAGGAAGTATTTCCTGGCTCCCTCTGGGATACTACTGCCCACACAAGTAGGTGAAACAACCAAACAACTGCATTAGTGGAAAGATTCTACCTCTTTAAGATGTCTCATCTTTGTG